AACGGTTTCGTTAAAAAAAGAATGCACTCTGTCATTTTTATATAAAATAAATATATATATATATATATATATATATATATATATATATATATATGTCTGCGTGTGTGTGTATATGTGTGTGTGTTTTGTGCAATTTAATTTATCTACAGATGAGAAAACACAGCAATACTTGCCCCCCCCGCACCCTAAAAAAAATAAACCTCCATGTGATGTTGACTCAGTAGTCAGGAATTATTCTTGGGCTTCAACATCGTCAGTACAAACCCCGACGCCCCAGCAATACCTCATAATATTTTACAACTTATCTTCAGATGCTAGAACCATGATCTTGGAGCGCTGGCCTTTTGCCAGGATTAATCTATTCTTAATATGCTGGACGAACAAAACATTTTACGGGTGTCATGAGTTTCCCTACTCTGGATCAAGCTCGTCTAAGTAAATAAATTAGATAGTCCGTTACGCCAGCCTGGGGAATATTATAGCATTGTATCGTGTACTGCTGGCACATATCCTTAAGGCAAATCGATCATGCATAATACTCAAATATCCAAACCCGGATGCAGTTGACGCGGTAAAACAATCATATCCGCTGGGGTCAATCTTTTGTTATTTCGGTTGTAGTGAGGGTGGCGTTATCGAGCAGAAGGATGACACCCTTATGCAAACGTCCTGGTCTCTTTTGACGAAGCATTTCCTTCAATTTGTCCAATATCTCAGAGCATCTGACCACGTGGTAGGAAATCCCCGACTATCACGCCATTTTAGCATTCGACAGAACAGATGCGCTATCAATTTCTGGTGAACGATGTAATTTGAATTTTTAAGCGGTCGAGTCAGTTTCGATTGATATTTTCAGGTCAGACAACGAAACTTGCTTCCTTCAAATTATCACCGCTTTGATTTCGTCAAATGGTATTTATTCAAGAAGCGTTTCCACAAATATAAAACTGTTGCTGCATAGGGTCAAGGTGACTTCAGTCGATTAAAATGCATTTACGTGTTCGTCCACCAATGGAACAAGAACATCAATAAGAGTAAAAGTAAATTAGTAGTACAGTAAATTGAATTAAATTAAATTAGTAGTACTGTAAATTAGTAGTATTGTAAACTAAATTAATAGTACTTGTCAGAGAAGCTCAATGTTTTATTATAATAAACATGGATAATTAGTAAATATTTGTACATTATTTTTCGGAAACATTGATTCATTTAATCTAGTTTCCTTGTCTTTTTGTCTTTATCCCAATGTTTCAGATGCTGTATCCTCTGGCCTTCTTTCTATCTGAATTTCAAAGACAAAGTGTTCTTATTATACATTGATTCTTTGGGACCAGTTTCCTTGTCTTTTTTGCCTTTATCCCAATGTTTCAGATGCTGTACTCTCTGACCTTCTTTCTATCTGAATTTCTAAGACAATGTTTTCTTATTATTATACATTGATTCTTTGGGACCAGTTTCCTTGTGTTTTTTGTCTTTATCCCAATCTTTCAGATGCTGTATCCTCTGGCCTTCTTTCTATCCGAATTACTAAGAAAAGGTGTTCTTACTATTATATATTGATTCTTTGCGACCAGTTTCCTTGTCTTTTTTGTCTTTATCCCAATCTTTCAGATGCTGTACCCTCTGGCCTTCTTTCTATCTGAATTTCTAAGACAAGGTGTTCTTCTTATTATACATTGATTCTTTGGGACCAGTTTCTTTGTCATTTTTGTATTTATCTCAAAGTTTCAGAATTTTGGCCTTCTTTTTCTTAGAAATTGACTCAAATTTGTAGGTTCTTTAGCTTACCCCTTAAGTCTCCTTGTGCTTCATTTGGAAGTAAACGTTTATGGGGGCGTGTTGTAAGCTTTAACAATTTCATTTAAACTGACTTCATTTCTGTAAATATCAAGATCTCATTTTTCTTTGATTATGTCACTAATTTGCTAAGTCTTTCAATTCATTTGGATGTTGTTTTTAATCATTTCACACCAAGCAAGGCGATAAAGCCACTAAGACGCAAAAAGTTACTGAGCGTGAAAGAACCACAAAAAACATTATTTAAAAGAACGAGTTCACAGAAGGTAAAGGTGTCGATTAATAATACATTTGAATTTTTGAAGATCATATTTGTCCTCCTATAGTGGCATTGAATGCTGGAAAATCTTTTCAAAGAGACTCAAAACCACAGAAATGCGGTTCTACAGATGCTGAAGACACCATCGACCGAACATGTGAGCAACAACAAAGTTTTGGAGAAAATGGATACAAAAAGGAAACCTAATTAACATCGGGAAGAGACAGTTGAAATTTCTGTGGCACGTTATGAGGAAGGAGGGCTTGGAATATCTGATACTCCCAAGACGGATTAAAAGAAAGAGGGGCAGAGAAAGACAGCGCGTAACAATACTTGACGGGCTTGAGTGAACGGATAGTGTAGTGGGGTTTGGGAGAGATAGCAAAAGGGCAAAATTTATTAGGAGCTACAAGGGACAGGAAGATGTGGAGGGTCATGATTGCACATCAAGAAGAAAACAGGAAAGCAAGAAAACGGAAGAAAGTTCCATAAGCGAGAATTGCTGGGGAAGAATCTATTAACATAGAACCTACGGTGAATGCAATTACTGAGATTTATATGATTGCTTCGCATCCAGATGCACCTAAAAAATAAATCAGTGATTTCATTTTCACATTTGTCTGTTTTGTTATCATTCGAATTCTTTGTCCTTAGGGCGCATAATAAGGAAAGAGGGCATGGAGAATTTGACACTCACATGGCATTAAAAGCAATGGAGACAGAGGAAAGCAATAAATAACATATCTAACGATCTTGTGTATATTGTTGGCAGAACAATGATTAAGAGAGATAGCAAAATAACTAATCTTACTCAGACCTACAAAGGATAGGAAGTTGGGAAGGACCGTTATCGCCTATATCCTGAAGGAGCACAACGCACAGAAGAACAAAGAAATCAAACCCAGTTCTACCAAATGTAGAGACCTATTTTCCCAACCCTTACAGAAATGTAAGGGATTTTCATTTTATATCAACCCTTTTTAAATTTATATAGAAAGTTTTATTCATCATTACCACTTTAAACTGTCTATCTTGAACAGCTCTCAAACTCTGAATTGGGTGAATTCGATTATAAAAAGTATTCTGTCTTACTCACATTGCAATAGAGCCCTACCTGGTTCGTTGCTTGCCCGAGGGATTACAGCAAGGATTAACGTCATTAACCTATTGCAATGTAAGACAGAATATATCACAACCTTCTCTGAACCATCCGAGTTGAAGTCACTCAATAATACATCGATTAAAAGAGTTGAGGACTTTAAATATCTTGGATTTAACATAATAGATTCCCCAAAAGACTTCAATATACGCAAAGCTCTTGCAATGGATGCGGGTAACAAACTTCACAAGATTTGGCGCTTCATCCTCCTCAAAAGTCCAAATCTTTCGAACATTGATTGAACCAGTCTTACAGTATGAATCTAGAAACTTTGATATCTGTCTATATTTCTGAGATGAGCTTTTATGTACATTATTTACATTATTTGGACTATTGTTCTAATCTTTGTCGCCATATTTATCACAACGTTTCGGCCCTTCAGTATCTGTCTATATTTCTGAGATGAGGTATTATGTACATTATTTACATTATTTGGACTATTGTCCTAATCTTTGTCGCCATATTTATCACAACGTTTCGGCCCTTCAGTATCTGTCTATATTTCTGAGATGAGGTATTATGTACATTATTTACATTATTTGGACTATTGTCCTCATCTTTGTCGCCATATTTATTACAACGTTTCGGCCCTTCAGTACCTGTCTATATTTCTGAGATGAGGTATTATGTACATTATTTACATTATTTGGACTATTGTCCTCATCTTTGTCGCCATATTTATTACAACGTTTCGGCCGTTGTACGCCCCGGCCTTCTTCAGGTCTGTCTTTCTACAGCCGGTCTTTCTGCAGCCTGTCTTTCTGCAGCTCGGGGGCTATCTTTCTGCGGTCTCAGATGATGGTCGGAGATACGATGGATCGTGTATTGGAACTAGAACAGTCTACCGTGAGCGAAATAAAGGGTTCAGTTCGACATTCCAACCACCTGAAGAAGGCCGGAGCATACAACGGCCGAAACGTTGTAATAAATATAGCGACAAAGATGAGGACAATAGTCCGAATAATGTAAATAATGTAAGAAACTTTGACATTATCTGTTCGTCTTGAAAGACGACTGAATAGAACATAGACAAATTATTATATATCAGTTGTATATCCCATACAACGCTTATCACAATTTACAGAGAACTGAAATCAATCTCTCTTAAGCTCAAACAAAAACGATTACTACCGTCTCATCCTTATTCCTTTGGAATCCTTCTGGAAGTGTCTTCTCATGACAATTGACTTTCCCAAACACCATAGCTCTGGACTCAGGGTTAGACATTCGGGATCTGGGGACAGCGATGCAGGACCAAGCAATGTGGAAAGAGATTGTCAATGGAGTTCCGACCAAACATAGCGAGGTCGAAGGATGATGATGATGATGATGAAGAGATATGAAGCAATAAAAGAGAGAGAGAGAGAGAAAGAAAGAGGTATAAAGCAATAAATGAGAGAGAGAGAGAGAGAGAGAGAGAGAGAGAGAGATGAGTTTGCCGGTCACTGCCACTGAATCGACTCATCTTCACACCTATGGCATCCTTCTGGAAGTGTCTTCTCACGAAAATTGACTTTCCCAAACACCATAGCTCGGGACTCATTGGGGATCTGGGGACAGCGATGCAGGACCAAGCATTGTGGAAAGGAATTGTCAATGGAGTTCCGACCAACCATAGGGAGGTCGAAGGATGATGATGATAAAAAAAAAATATACTACATCCTTTTCTCATGTAATCAGATGTATATTAATGTATCCTCAGATGATGGTCGGAGATACGATGGATCATGCATTGTAACATGTCGACAGAGTTATCTTGTGTGTATTCTACAACTCTCAATTTCAATGTTTATAGTCCAGAGATTTCGCCGACTATCTTTCTGCGGTCCGCCGCCTTTATTGCTCCGGCCTCTAGATTTTTTTTTTCTGCAGTTTGCGGACTATCTTTCTGCAGCCTGTCTTTCTGCAGCCTGTCTTTCTACAGCCGGTCTTTCTGCAGCCTGTCTTTCTACAACCTGTCTTTCTGCAGCCTGTCTTTCTACAGCCGGTCTTTCTGCAGCCTGTCTTTCTACAGCCGGTCTTTCTGCAGCCTGTCTTTCTGTAGCCTGTCTTTCTACAGCCGGTCTTTCTGCAGCCTGTCTTTCTACAGCCGGTCTTTCTGCAGCCTGTCTTTCTACAACCTGTCTTTCTGCAGCCTGTCTTTCTACAGCCGGTCTTTCTGCAGCCTGTCTTTCTGTAGCCTGTCTTTCTACAGCCGGTCTTTCTGCAGCCTGTCTTTCTACAGCCTGTCTTTCTGCTGCCTGTCTTTCTACAGCCAGTCTTTCTGCAGCCTGTCTTTCTACAACCTGTCTTTCTGCAGCCTGTCTTTCTACAGCCGGTCTTTCTGCAGCCTGTCTTTCTACAGCCGGTCTTTCTGCAGCCTGTCTTTCTACAACCTGTCTTTCTGCAGCCTGTCTTTCTACAGCCGGTCTTTCTACAGCCAGTCTTTCTGCAGCCTGTCTTTCTGCAGCCTGTCTTTCTACAGCCGGTCTTTCTACAACCTGTCTTTCTACAACCTGTCTTTCTGCAGCCTGTCTTTCTACAGCCGGTCTTTCTACAGCCTGTCTTTCTGCAACTCGGGGGCTATCTTTCTTTGGACTTTCTGCGGCTTGCGGATTATTTTTCCGTGACTGGCCGACTATCTTTCTGCGGTCTGTAGAATATCTTTCTGTTGCCCGCCGGAACCATTTTCGTAACTTATTTTTCTCAAATTTGAGTAATTTTCCAGATATAAATTCTTACAAATTGCTTCACACTTACTGTGCAATACATACTGTCAAGTAATTAATCACCGGAATTTCATTAATTCATGACTGAACTTCCTTTGATTCGAAGCACGCGAATCAACCCTAAATCGCTATTGGAAGATCAGAAAATGAAACGAACCTTCATAAATATATTCTATGTTCATGGAATTATACAATCGTTTGTTCAATAATCCAATTCATATTGTTTTGTTTTATTTCGACTTGAAATATTGGCGATGTAATTTGAATAAAAATAGACAACCAGAGAAAGATTGATAGATTAGAGAACTGTTAGCAGAGGAGATCTTTGCATAAAGTCTTCAAAAAAAAAAAATGTGCGGTGGCAGAGGAGATCAAGCATATCAGCAAGGCACCATCAGGAACAGGAAGGCAATAATAACATTAGGTTTCAGGCTCTAATTTCTAACTTCGGGATTGTCGCAAGGAAGTCTAGATGATTAAAGCGTTGCTTTATGAATTTGTTGGCATAGCAATTGTGAGTTCAATCCCTGTGTTAGGTAATACAGAATTCAATTTTTTAAATATTTTGAACTTGGATGTATGTGTTTATATATTTCTCAACATTTTTGTGTGACAATATATATATATATATATATTGTATGCGCAGTACTTAGTGGAAAGTGCTCAATATCAGTGATAGAGCTAAAGTTGTATAGATATTAACATGTGACCCTGTTACAAACAATTACAAGCAATTACAATTGCGTATATATGTATGCTTGAACGTATGTATGTGTATCTGCGCGTAACCTCAGATTGTTTATACGGTTGTGTTTGTGTGAACTAAAATGCGTACACCTGTGTGTACGTGTGTCTTTGTGTGTTAGGATGCCATTCCAAACAAACACAGAAGAAAATCCCCCCCTACATCCATTTTAAAGAAATAAACCAGTTGGGTGATCGCAAAAGCGTGGAACCCAGGGTCACAAACTCATATCCATACAACTGAATATTGTCATCCACAGACTGACATTCGCTGTATCACAGGTCATCAGTTGTCCTCTAGCTAGGATCGAAACCCGAATGAATTGGCATCAGTCGGGGGATTCTACCATTAGGCCATTGTCGCATGCCAGAGATGAAGGTGAATTTAAGCATATTTATTTTTAGATAAACACACAGTGACTGAGAGAACTCGATTCTATTTACCGAAGAGTCTTGCATTATTAGCCGTAATAGTCACTGTTTACAAGCCCACACTTCCTCCCCAGAGAACTCAACCGAAATAAATTTTTCAGGAGCATATGTATGTAAGTGCATTTTTAAATCAATTTGTTTTTAAATTCATTCTCTCATTTATTTTTAAATCAATTTGTTTTTAAATTTATTCGTTCATTTGTAACATAAAAGAAACAACACTTATCAATAATTAGTACCTGAATTCTATAGACGACAAACAAATCAGATTTCATTTAAACACCAGTCATAAATATAATATTGACAATAACGCCATTAACATATGCTACCAAAATCAAATGCCCTAGACAGACGAAAAAGCGATAAAAATCATCACACATAGATATATAAAGCCAGTCGATAAAAATGAATATATTAGGTTCATTATTTCCTGCAGAAATTCAAAAGTAACAATTTAGTTATTAAGAATAATATATCGCAGAGTTCAAATTCTCTGTATGAAACCAATGTTGCGTATGGATATACTTGCCCACTTGGAGAATGTTTCTCTGTAAAAAAAATCATAAAAAAAATCACAAAACGTATTACATAGGATATACCACAACCACACTTTCACGGAGACACCCCTGCAGCTAATCGGATCATAGTGCCATCAGAAAACACTGTAATAAGCAGTATAATCAGAAGCAAAACCAAAATACTAGCAAAAACAAATAGTAATCATCCTTGAGACAATACTTATACAACAATAAATCATCCTTGAGGCAATACTTATACAACAAAACCAACCATCTATAAAAATATCACTTAAGAGCTCGCATCCTTATATATATATATATATATATATATATATCAGCCACTCTTTGCCTATGCCACGACAATCAGTAGTTCTACGAAAAACGAAAAATGTCTGTACTTACCTTGAGAATGACTTAAGAATGTCGAAAGCTTGGACCATATTTCTTTTACTTTTGATCTGAAATGAACTTAGAACAATTTCTCACAGAATTTACTCTTTATCTAAGAAGGGTCATTCGTAAATTAGAAAAAAGTCGATCATTAAAATTAATCGGCACAAAATATCAGTTTTTAATAATGTTTGCTTTAAAGAAAATTTGCTGCTAAAAACAAATATATATATATATATATATATATATATATATATATATATATATATATATATATATATATATATATATATCCATGTATATTAAAATATATATATATATATGGTGGTGGACTCTCCAATCGTATTCGAAGTATGACATTTGGCAGCTCATTTCCTACGAACGAACAGCCCAGACACCAGTACATATGAATGATCTGATTATAGTGGCGAAGGCCTCGTGCAGGACCATCCACACTTTTTGAAGGGCCGAATACAGAGACCTGGTGCACTACGTGCCACAAGGTCCCCAAACGACCCTCCGCAGGTTTTGAATTCAGAGTTGTCCTTCTCCTAGACCAGTTGGCATCCAAGGCTATAGAACCCAGTCTGTCTTACTATTTACCCATAGCTGGTGGGAGAAGAGGATTAATACCTTTTCAAGGATATTAACACGTAGGTGAATGTAATGTATTCGACTGGAATTCGAACTCGGCTCTCCGATTTCTCAATCCGAGCCGATATCCACTACTCCTATATATATAATAAAAAGTCTTAAACTTATCTTCCATGGTTATAATTTATTACATTGGAATCGTAAATACGATCCAATTCATCAGGCCTACAAATTCAAAAAATATATACACGAAGGTTATTCTAAAAGTTTTGAAAATAATCACACTTGTGTTCTAAACACGTTTTTCATATGTTTGGATTTTATTAAAATTCTAAAAATAACGTTTCAAGACAGTGGTTCTTAATCTTTTTGGTAGTCACACCCCACCCCCTTTAAGAATATGATGAAAGATATGGCCATCTTTTGTAGAAATATAAACATGAACATCCAATGTATACAATAAATGTTATTTATGTTATTTATCAAGATTTTAACTTACTTGCAGTAAAAGGAATCAGAACATTCATTGCTCGCTTTACAAGACGAGAATAGGCTTGAGCGCACCAGAATTCGAGTTGAGTTAATTTCTTAACATTTCCTTTATTCTTAGGTCAATGAGATCATATTTGGCAAGGTCTTCATCACTGATACACAGTCTATGTTGGCTAGTAAATGATAACATATCTGAAGTATATTGCTGCTGGGTTCAAATAAGGCAACGAAATATATATATATATATATATATATATATATATATAGAGAGAGAGAGAGAGAGAGAGAAGGCACAGTGGTTTTAATACGTGCTAATACCTTTGGGAAAGGTGTGAATCCTCCTCCAGCTATGGGTAAATGGCCTTGGATGGCAACTGGTCTAGGAGAAGGACAACTCTGAATTCAAAACCTGCGGAGGGTCGTTTTGGGACCTTGTGGCACGTAGTGAACCAAGTCTCTGTATTCGGCCCTTCAGAAAGTGTGGATGGTCCTGCACAAAACCTTCACCACTATAATCAAATCTCATGTGCTGTTGTCGAGCTGTCGTTTCCCTAGGAACTGATCTGTTTGACCCTCATACGTCGAATTCGACGGAGAGTCGTATATATATATATATATATATATATATATATATATATATATATATATATAAAAGAAATATGTTGTAGTGGTTCCAACGAGAAAAGTATGTATATTAAAAAAGAAGAGGGGGGTGCCGCAAACGTTTTTTGGTTGTAATGTGGATTTATTGAGAAAAAATATTATACTTTGTTTTACATAAATTCACGACACGTGTTTCTGGTCTGGTCTCGCAACCGTCTTCAGGTGAAAGTGGAGATTTTACATATTATTAAAAATAATTAATTTTTCTTCATGTTCAATGGAATATTCTCGATATGAGACATTCTGTTTGTGTGTTGGCAATCGAATTTTCTTTCTAGAATTGTCAATGAAGAGTTCTGCGTGAAGGGTCATAAAACAATTAAGGTTTGTCCAGCGAGTAGTTATCGGCATTTAATCTTTTAATGTTTTAGTGACCTCTATGTGCTCTTGGATCTGTTTTCTATTTGGCGTGTTCCTGTCAGCATGCGTGTATATATGCGTGCGTATATTTCCTTACTAGGAATTCGTAAACTTATTTGTACTTATACACGCACACACACACACACACATACACACTATCCCACCAAGTAGTCAGTACACACACATATACACACATATTTCCCAAGCTACATGGAACCAGTACACACACATACACACACACACATACATACACACGCACACACACACACACACACACACGTACTTCTTAAGTTGTCAACATCCGCATATACATACATAAATGTATGTATGTGTACATACACATATATATATCTCCTCGTGTCTCCCGTATATGAGTGTACGTCCATGTATGTGAGCGATCATTGTATTTGGTCACCCTGTGTGCACGTTTTTTTTTTTTTTTTTTTTTTCGTGGGGTGGTTACGATCTATTCAGTTCGGGTTTGAATTTGTCTATAAAGTTTTTTTCCTGTATTTGTAGATACGAGTAATTGTCTGTTTGATATATCGGCATGATATTAAACTTACCCTGGTTACATTTGAAAATGTGTTGTGATACAAAAAGTTTTCTGTTGTCTGTCAATTTTATATTGCTTTTGTGTAGGGAGACCCTGTTGTTCAGTTGTTGGCTGATGCCTATATATGACTTCTTACATTTTGTGCATTTAAGTGCATAAACTACATTTTGGAGTTGCAGTTTAAGTTTTTGTTTATTGTGAATGTTTTTTTGGGTTTTCAAAAGTGTAGGAGTTTCCT